TTCAGTATCAAGGACCAAATTCATGACCTTGCACTTTCCAGGCAGGCACTTATGCCACTGAGCTATATCCCCAGCCCCTGAATATATATTTTTACAAAGAACATATAGAAATGGCCAAAAGTCCATAAATAGTTGGTCTACCTTATTATGTACCTTGGAACTATCAATCAAAATCATACAGATATTGGGGCTGGGGATTCAGCTCAGCAGCACATCACCTGCCTAGCAAGTGTGTGGTCCTAAGTTTGATTCCCAGCACCTCCCTAATCATACAGTCATCACTTCACACCTGGTAGAAAGGCTGTGACTAATCAACACTAACCACTGATGGAGATACAGGGGAGCTTCGCACTTGCCGGTGCAGATGCAAAATGGCACAGCTGTTTTGGAAATGTTTGGCAAAAGGTTAAAAGTGTAGAGGTAGCATGTGATCAGCAATTCTCCTTGTAAGAATATACCCAGATGAAAACACATGTATACACAAAAATGTGGATATGAATGTTCATAGTTGTATTATATAAGAGCTAAAAAGTAGGAACAATCCATGTGCATATCAATAGATGAATTACTAAACAGAACGTACTATGTTCATTCAAAAGAATACCATTCAGCCACAAAAAATGAAATACTGCTGCATGATACCACATGGATGGACCTTGAAAACATTCTTCGACGCAAAAGAATATATACTATATGATTTCATTTATATTAAATGTCCAAAATAAGTTAGGTGTGGTGGTGCACACGTATAATCCCAGCGCTTGGGAGGCTGAGGCAAGAGGATTACCAGGAGTTCAAGGCCAGTCTAGACTACATATCGAGACTCTGCCTCACAAAAACAAAACAAAATGTCTAAAATAGGCAAATGTAGAGCCAGAAAACAAACTGGTAGTTGCCAGGCGGTGTAGGGAGGGAACAGAAAGCCACTGCTGATGTGCCTGCAACTGTTCAAAAGTTAGATTGTGTTACTGCTCACATGAAACTAAACATGTACTAAAACAGCTGAATTATACAATGAGAAGAGCAATTTGTGGGGTATATTAAGTGTATCTCTAAAAAAATTGTATGACAAAAAAAGTTCCTGTATTTTGTTTTTACCAGTAGTTGTCGCTGAGATTCAAATATATTAAATTGAAATATATTCAAATACATTAAGGGAGCTGTAATGAAAGCATCTGATTAAAGGAGGCACTTCATATTCTCTTAATTATACAGTGATTTATTCTCTAGTCTCAAATTTCCATGCAGACACATGACAAATGGCAGCTCCTATAATTACAGTTTAAGATGACAATGTTGGTATTTCGAATTACAGTCATAGGAGAATCCAGATACTGTGTGCTACATTAATAAAAAGAGGTTTAGGTCATTGCACAAACACAAATCGAACTTCCTTCAGATGGGAAATCCAAGTTCCCAGTCCACTCAACTGGAGGACACAGTGGCACAAAAGTAGCAGCCCGTCTATAGGCAGACATTGTGCAGCATGCTGGACAGCAGGTCAGCTCACCCTTTAGGAAGCACACACTCTTACTGCCCAAGTTTGGCTTTCGTGTTGAGTTCACCTGGAGAAAACAGTGAGGTAATGAACGTTTTTACTGTGGTCTGGTCCCGAATGGAGGTCTTGTCTCTTGACCCTTCTGGGTGTGGAGCACAGGACAAAGCAGACAGACCCAAATCTCTCTTCTTTCTACCCAAGCAACTGCCAATGACATCATTATACTCAGAGGCAAAGCCTGGTGCTTATTACTGGATTGGGTCTGTGAGGTCGTCAATGCTGAAATAAGGAATCTATCCCAACATTTTAAAGTAAGTTTGCAGATTCACTGACTCTTGTCCTGGAAAAAGAATTTTCAGGATGTGCTCATAAAAAACAGACAGGAGAAGGGTGTACTTGGATGCAATCCATTCTTGGAGTGCGGGTGCTCAGAGAAATGAGAACATTACCAGCTGGAGCAGAACACATTTAAAGGCTGTGTTCAGGCTAGGTGATCTAGGATGCGTATCCTCACCGTCTGTCGGGTTACAGTGTAGCTTCTACCACCCTTTAAAGTTAGAGTCTCGGCCCCAGGGCAGCTGCTTCCACGGGGGAGGAAGGGCAAGCTGCAGGTGTAGTTCACAGGTGAAAAGGACAGGCCAGTGCCCAGGATTTATAAGCTATTGTGAAAAGACTTTTAGGAATTAAGGACGGAAGGATGGGGGCGGGGTCACAAGCTAGAACGGCCTCCAGAGACAGGAAAAAACCTTGCCTTGAAGCTGCCATTTTTCTTGAAGCCGCAGTGGGGTTTTTGTTTGGTTGGTTTTTCTTAAAAGCACAACCTTAAAATCTTCATTTGCTTGTCTCCTTTCTACCTATTTTTTATTTCTTCTGTTCTTCCTCAGAGCGGCCCGTGGCCCGGGGAGCAATGACAGGGAGCTGAACTTGTACACAAACACAGCTTTCTTGGTTCTCAGTTCAACACACACCATCTCATGACTCACTTACCATTCAACTACACCTGAGTTTTAAGGCCATCTCTCTGCCATAGAAGATCTGACATTTCCTTTCTACTTTTTCCAATCCTACTTCAGCCTTCTGTAAAGTCTGAGCTCCTTCAAGGACATCTAGCTCCCTTTACTGGAACTGTTTCCAGCACCTGAGTTACTATCCCATGGAATGGTGGAAAGATCTCGCGTCTTTTAGATTCCGTCTCTGCTACAAACCGTGGGAAGTGTCACAGAGAGGCAAAGTGCTATTCTGTGACCTATAGTTAACTTTCGGTATCTGCAGCCAAGTGCTGATTCTTCAACACTGAGTGTAGGGCAAATTCCACGAGCTCTAATCACAGGCTGCGCGGAGCTGAGGAGCTGAGACCTCCCGTGGCCGCTGGAGGCAGAACCCTCCCATCCGGAGCCTCAGCCCCCCACCCAGGCCTGCGGAGTCCGCCGCGCCCAGGCCACCCAGGAGCACACGAGGGCAGAGTGGGCGGTGCTGACCGGGCGGGGGCTCTGGGCTCAGGCAAGGACCCTACAGGCCCTGTCCTCGCGGACTGGGCGCAGCTGCACACACTTAGGGCCAGGCGCGGCTTTCAAACGCCTCGGGGCCAGCCAGGAGGGGAAGGAGGACAGGGAACGTGAGAGGCAGCAGGAGGCCCAGGCTTTTCATTCCTTTCTGAAGAGTGTTCTGGTCACAGGAAGAATCCCTCTTAGACTGTTTGTTCCTTTCAGCGATACTTACATTTTGTGTGAAGTGGAATTCACTCAAAAGAAAAGTAGCCACTTTAAAGTAAACAGTTCTGTGGCGTGGAGTGCATTCACAATGTTGCGCAACTGCCAAAGCACTTTCACCGCTGCAAAGGAAGCCCGAGCCCCTCCGCAGTGACCCCGCACCGCCCGGCTCCGGCCCTCGCGGCGGCTTCTCCGCGCGTCCCCGGCGCTCTCGTGCCCCCGCTCGGCGGGGGAGCAGGCCGGAGGCTTCGCTCGCGGGCTCGGCGCGCGGCAGGGGCTCCCGGGAGCCGTCCCCCGCTCCCGCAGCCGCTCCCCACGCGGCCGGCGGCTCTGCCCTCCCGCCGGTACTGCGGGCCGGTCTAGCCGCGCACACCGCCCTGCGGCACCGCTCCGTCCAGGGCCGCCCGCCCAGGCCCCGAGTGGCGGCCGCGGTGCGGAGCCGGCGGGGCGGAGAGCCAGGCCTGTCTTCTCGGCGAACAGCACGCGGCAGAGGAGAGTGGGGGAGGGGAGCGGCCGTTACACCATCGCCAACCCCAAACACCGCCCGCCACCTCCTCCGGCCGCGCCTCACCCGAGGCCGCACAGATCTGACGAGCCCGGCGTCAGGAGGCCCCGCCCCTGACCGGGGTTACCATCGGTCACAGACCTGCAGCGGGGTTATTTACGTTCACTCACCCGACAGTGCCTGACCCGACGCAGCCAATCAGCGGCCGCCTGACGTGTCTGCCGGCGTCCGCACCAATCAGGTGGCATCGCCCCTGCAGTCCTGGCCGCGCGCCCGCCCCACTTCGCAGCCCTCTCCTGGCGCGCCGAGCCCCTGCTGCTCTCTGCTGGCCGCCCAGGGCGGCCGAGCCGGCCTTGCCCTGCGCAGGGCAGGCCAGGCCTTCCTCCAGAGAGGAGAAGCGGGGGCAGTGGACTTCGCCCGCCCCCAGCCTGTGCGGCTGCGCAGATTTGGCCGTAGCGGCCGACGCCCGCGGCCGCGGGGCAGGCTGAGGGGGTGCGGGGCGCGGGAGCCGGGAGCAGCTTGGCCTCCAGGCAGCGTCCCTCGCAACGAGGAGTTGTCCGATATATTCACAAAGGCAGAACAGTGCCTGTTTCAGAAACATACTAGGGAGCAGCGGGCCCAGGCTAGGAGTTTGGCGGGACGGGCAGCCGGCTGAGCTGTGGGAGACCCGCGGGGCCCCAGGTCCGAGGCCGCAGTGGTGGGAGCAGCTCAGCTCTGGTGCAGAATCTGTCGTAGCCACCTAGATTGGATCCGTTCGATGGAGGGGGGTAGCAGTCGGGACGCCTAGGTGTGAGCCCGAGGGACGGCGAGGAGATTCTGAAAAGGCCGGACCGCAGGCCGGGGTGGTGCACGCCTGTAACCCCAGTTCTCTTGGAGGCTGAGGCTGTGAGTTCAAGGCCAGGCTGAACTACATATCGAGGCCCTGTCTCAAAAACAAACCAGCAGCAGCAACAAAAAACTTGCAATGACAGGATGCTGGGAAGTAGCAACCTAACAGGAAGAGGACGCAGTGGTGACAAAAAATATAAGTCAAAACTATGTAATGCAATTGAAAAATAATTCCACCTAGAGGGAGCTGGAAAGTTTAAGTGGTGTAAATGCCTACACATGAAAAAGGACTTGGGTTAAATTTTGTGTTTCTGTTTTTATGCTCCCCCTCCCCTGCCCCCACTTTGGTAAAATAAATTGGAGCAGCCATTTGAGGTACAACTATGCAGCTGTTAAAATTATGTTGCAAGACTGGTGCTGTAGCTCAGTAGTAGAGCTTGTGCTTAGCATGTAGAAGGCCCTGGTTCTAAATTTTATTCCCAAGCCACAAAAAATCTCCCACTGCCATGGAAATACATTAATTGCCTAAAAATGCTCAGTGCATTTTAAGAGAAACATTTGGGTTAAAGAGTAGTATGTATGCAATTAGGACATTTTAAAAAATTACATGTGTAGCCAGGCTTGGTGGCACACACCTGTAATCCCAGTACTAGGGAGGCCAATGCAGGAGGGTTGGTGTGAGTTCAAGGCCAGCCTACGCTACAGCATAACTTCAAGGCCAGCCTGAACTTCATAGTGAAACCCTGTCTCAAAAAGACAAAAAAAAGAAAAAAGAAAACATACATAACAGCAAAAAGGCATGGGAAAACTTCCAGGGTGAGGGACTTGTTCTGTTTTGATTAAGATAGTTACAACAACTGCAAATCCTCAAACTGTAGGGCCAGTTTAAAGAGATAGTTGTCGCTAGTCCCAACTTCATAGGGCTGAGTCTTACAATGTAAGAAGTGATGAAAGAATGATTAAGTTTGCATAGCATGCTTTACAAAATGCACCTGTTGGGGCTGGGGATTTAGCTCAGCGGCAAACCGCCTGCCTGGCAAGTGCAAGGTTGTGAGTTCAGTTCCCAGTCCCAGAGAAAAACAAAACAAACAAACAAAAAAAATGCACCTGTTATATTTCTTTTAAAAATTAAAAACCTGGGCCGAGGATATGGCTCACTGGCGCAAGCGCCTGCCTGGCAAGCACAAGGTCAAGAGTTCAATTCCCAGTGCCAAAAAAAATTTAAAAACTGACAAAACAACAATGAAGACAAAATAAAAACAGCACAAAAAGCAACAAAAATGATACATGACCTCAAAAGAAAATGATAGAAATTTACAACGGTTGCCATATTACATACTGTTATCTTCAGAGAAGTTGCTCAGTCCATTAGACATAAGAATGTAAGATTGATCAAACAATCAAAGACAATAACAAGTATATAAATAAGTAAAACGTTGGAAATGATGCAGAACTTCCCCATACAAAATGGTAGGAGTTCAACAAGGGTTCTTATACTGCATATTGTTTTCAGGTCAGTCATTCTGATTACCAAATTAAAGCTTGCAAAATTGGTCAAGAAAAAAGAAAATTTTAAGCATTGACGGTTCATCTCAATAAACTGTAGACATCAGCAATACACCTATTCCAGCTATCCTTGTATACACATATAGATTTTGTTTCTTATTTTAAAAAAAAACCAAAATAACGAAAACAAATACATAAACAAAACAGCATAGAGAGCAATAAAAATGACACAGAATTTCAAAACATGGTGACAGGATATCAACAATGGTTGTTATGCTACATAATGTCATCTTCAAAATGGTTGCACATATAACCAGGTATCAACATGCAAGATTGATCAAACAATTATACAGTAGCAATCTCTTTCAATAAACCAACAGATATTAGTAGTACAATTATCCTAGCTATCCTCTGTGTATATATATATATATATATATATATACATACATACACGTTTTCCCTCTTCCTTCTTTCTTTTTCCTCTCCCCTCCTTCATCCCACTTGTTCCTTCCTATTTGCGCAGTTCCTTTGCCTTTCACAATATCTACTGTACCTTTCAGATTTTATTTCCTCTTTCAGGTTCTTATAGTAGGGAGGAAATACCATGCTTACACATGTGAATCCGATTTATTTCAATAATGAGTATGATATCTAGTTGCATCCATTTACCTGCAAAAGCCTCTAAACATGGAAAGATATTCCTTGCTCATGGATAGGAAGACCCAACATTGTGAAAATGGCCATACTCCCAAAATTGTAATACAGATTCAAAGCAAATCCAATGAAAGTACCATTGGTATACCTCACAGACCTAGAGAAAACATTCCTAAAATATATCTGGAACCAGAAGAGACCTAGAATAGCAAAAGCAACTCTAGGCAACAAAGACAAGGGAGGAGGCATTGCAATCCCTGATTTGAAATTATACTACAAAGCTACTGTGATAAAATTAGCATGGTATTGGCAAAAAAAAAAAAACCAAAAAACCAGACCTGAAGATCAGTGGAACAGACTAGAAGATGCAGACACAACCACAAAGACACTCAGCCATCTTATCTTTGACAAAGGGGCCAAATATGTTCACTAGAAGAAAGATAGCCTCTTTAATAAATGGTGCTGGAAAAACTGGGTTCCCACATGTCAAAGACTAAAACTAGACCCAAGCCTATCACCATGCACCAAAATAAAGTCAAAATGGCTTAAAGATCTAAATAGTAAAACAGTAACACTAGATCTAATGGAAGAGAAAGTAGGTGAAATTCTTGAAGACATACGGGTAGGTAGAGTTCATGAACAAAAACCAAACTGCATGAGAAATACTTCAGAGAATCAACAACTGGGATCTCATCTTATTGAAAAGTTTTTGCACATCACCTGTTATATTTCTTTTTCTTTCTTTTTTCTTTTTTTTTTTTGTCTTTTTGAGACAGGGTCCCCATATGCAGTTCAGGCTGGCCTTGAGCTCACTTTGTGGCCCAGGCTGGTCTTGAACTTGCAATGATCCTCCTGCCTCAGTCTCCCGAGTGCTGGGATTACAGGCATGTGCCACCACACCCGGCCATACCTGTTATATTTCATTTTTTTGTTCATTTGGTTTGTTTTGAGACAGGGTCTTGCTATGTAGCCCAGGCTGGCCTTGAATTTGGGGTGATCCTCCTGCCTCAGCCTCCCAAGAAATGGGATTACAGTCGTGTACCACCATGCTGGGGCACTATCTCTATTTGTAAATATTATTTAATCATGATAATGATAGGATTTAAGTGTCTTCGGCCAAATAGAACTTCCGAAAAACAGAATCACAACCATATGTTTACATAATCTGTTGAACTGATTTATGCAATCCATGGTGCTGGACATGGGAAATGCAGACAAGTAAGACATGGGCATTGCCCTTAACAAGAAAATATAGCTGACTAGTCAGAGAAATTTAAGAGAACAAAAACAAACTCTCCTTTCATTCAATTACTGCCCTTTAGAGTCAAAGCAGAGCTTCAAATCCAGATCAGTGGGACAGCCTATGCCTTGCACCCATGTTGGAGTGTCCTTAATGATCACAGGGATAGAGAGCCCTTCCTGCTTCTCATTGCAGGAAGTTTGTATTTGTAACCCAAAGGAAAGTTATTGGAATTTGAGCTTGTTAATTCCCATCTGCTACTTCCAGGGCAAACCATGGTGAGAATAAGGAACTAAGGCATATTTGTAGTTGTGGGGAGCCAAGGGGTTCCTAAGTGCAGCTAAGGTGGTGGCTAACTGGAACAAAGGCCTCAGCCCAGGGCCAAACTTGGGTTTTATTAATTCTTGACAAGGGGAGTGGCTTGGGGATGAGTGACTGTGAGAGTGGTGGGAAGTATGTGAGTGCTGTGAGCTGGGCTAGGTAGATGGTCTGAAATCACCTCTAAAATATGCAAAGAGGATATGCAGAAGGAGTAATTTGCAAAACACAATTTGAGGTAGTATGTGATGCTTTGGGGTCAGTGCTTTAGCTCTGATGTATAATTTTTTGTGCCCTGGGAAGTCATAGCCTCTTATCTCGAGGAGACTTTGTCCCAGCATGGAGTGTGGCTCTCCATCCACCCCAGCTCATACATGTGTGTTTTTGTTTTTGTTTTTGTTTTTTGGTTTTTCTCCGGTACCAGGAACCAAACTCACGACCTTGCACTTGCCAGGCAGGCGCTTTGCCGCTGAGCTAAACCCCCAGCCCCTACAGCTCATACATGTGTTGAAGGGATAAGGAGAAGGCCTAGCCAGCTCTGTACACATCGATGCATGGAAATAGGGTGAGGTTTAGCCAAAATGGAGATAACTGCTCTTCTTTCAAGGAGCATTGTCCAGATGGTCCTCCACACATAGGTACTGAGGCTAGGGAGGTGAGATTAAGTGTGCAGGTCCTGGAAGCAGACTGGCTGGCTTTAACTTCACACTCTAGCATTTACTGGGCAAGGAGTATTCTGAAGCAAGTTATGTAATGTGTCTTTGCTTTGGTTTCTCATCTGTAAAATGGAGATAATAACAATACATATCATGTTTTCTAAATGATGATTAAATGGAATAATGCATGTGTAAAGTTTCTAGGATGATACGTATTTGCACATACTAAATAATCGATAGTAGCTATAATACAGCTTTCTTTCTTTCTTTTTTTCTTTCTTTTTTTCTTTCTCTCTAAGAGCAGAATATATTTATTGAGGGAAAGAAAGCTTCTGTCCAAGAGAAGGACAGAAGGGGGCTCGAGTGGGTTGTCCAATACAGCTTTTATTGTGGGATACATGTTCCTTAGTTTAGAATTTGTTGCAAATATACCTATCTTGGACTTTTTTTTTCCTTTTCTGTACTGGGGATTGATCCAGAATCTTTACACTGAGCTACATTCCCAGCTGTTTTAAAAAATTTTTATTTTGATGGGGA